TCCTCTATAGAAATCATATCATCTAAAAAACTCAAACTGACACTACTCAGGAAACTCTTGGTTACATAAAGTCAATCAATAGCCTTCTATTACTCAGCCCTGTTGGACCCCAACTTGACTGGTGAAATGGCCAAAGCAGTGGACTCTCCTGCATTTCACTTAGATTCCACTGAATGTGTGACTTGGAGATGCAGTGGAGGAGCTCACTTTTCTGAAGGAGGAACTGCTGAGTACAGGACCACTCAGCAGGGTCACTTGGGAGAAAAGGGAAATCCGTGCTGAAACAATGAGAATTGAGACCTGTTGAAAGAAAAGAGGGACTAGGGAAAGAGGACCACCACGTGGGAGAAGAAAGGGGTGAGGGTATTTGCAAAGACAGCTTTTGAGGGCACTAAGTTGTAAGAGTGTAGGTCAGCAGAGACAGCGCCCTGAAGAAAAATGGAGTCACTGGAAGGTAGTGCTCTGTGGTTGTCATCCTGTGCCACCTTGTGTCCACCTTATCACTTCTCCTCAAATGCTCCACCTTCCCTTATTCCCTTTTATATTTCTAATTCCTCCTATATCTTGGGAAGTCAAAATCACTTGAGTTGTTCCCCTAGCAACGCTTAATTTCAGTGGTAGATCTCAAGACACTGATTTCTTTGGACTCTCCTTGGTAATGTGGAAGGAATTGATTGTGGAATACTGAGAGTTATGAGAGAAAGAGGTGGAAAGCAGAGAAAGTTTTCATATATTTCTCCACTGTGCTGCTAACACAATCATAGAGAAACTATTGTTGAGAATTTCCATTATCAATGGATGACAATTCATATTGACCCTTGTGTTAAAGTAGAAATGAAAATGGATTCTGATGCTTTTACTGAATTGAAGCAAAAGCTTGTTTGCTTAATTAATGTCCTGGAGACTAAGTAGAGCCTATAGCAAGAAAGGAAGAAGTAACTATGAGAAAGAATGCCCCACTGTCCTTGCTCAAAGAATGATTGTGTCAGAGAAACTCCTGTGGTGGCAAGCTGCTGTGGGTTTGGGATTATGGCTCTAGAATAATAATAGTTAATACCTATTTAGCACTTCCAAATGCCAGGTCTTCTAAGCACTTCATATCATCACCCTATTCAATTCTCACAACAACCCTATGAAGTTGGTGCCATTATTATCTCTTTTTTACAGACAAGGAAGCTGAGGTTGAGTAACTTGTCTAGGGTCACCCACACAGTAATCACCACAGCCGAAATCAGAACCCAGGAGTTTGTGCCAGCAACCACTAGAGTCTTCTGTCTTCCTCATACGCATGTTCTATTTACAATGTCAAGTTCACATATGTCTGTGAACTCTGGCCCTTCCTCTGTGTATCCTACTATTTCTAGAGTTGTCTGCCCCACAGTGCCATTTCTCCTGACTAGGAGCTTTTGAGAAAAGGCTTTCACATCAGCTTTTTCCACTCATCTTTGTTCTCCTCCCACTGCCTCTTTTCCAAACACTCAGTCTATACTGGTTTGGCAATGAATGGGAATGTCCAAGATATTGTGATATTAAAAAAATGATGGAAGAGTAGGAGTTAGGGAAGGTGAACCCTCAAATGTCTTTCCTTCCCAAGGCTTAGTGCACAGAGAGTCATTCAGGTGGATACAAGATAACATCAGAGAACAACACACACCAACCTGCCCGCAACCTGTGGTGAGTGATACTGAGCTCTTAAGGCCAGTGGATCTGAGGTTCATAATCTTTCTTGCCCCCTTAAATGGCTTGAAAGCCTAAAATATAATTCATCTAAATTCCAGCAGACAGAGTGACTTGAAACATCAGTAAGGTAGACCAGCTATATGAAAAGAGGAAAGGAAGAGCCAGAAAACAGCAGAAGCCAAAAAACTATTTGAGTTGTTAGAAAATTAAAGAGAATCAGTCTGCTGTTTCTAGTACCCTTCTCTCTGCTATACCATTTCAGAGCTCTATGGAGAACAAGACACTGGACTCCTAAGGAAGATAGATTCCAGCTAAGATTAAAAAACGACACAAGAAAAACTCCACGGGACCTATGGAGAACTCACTAGGCAGAGTGGCTCAAAGACGTGAAAATTATAGTGACACTGGTTTTATAAGTCAGAGCCCAGATCATCAAAGCACAATGTAACACCGGTATAGCTTCATAATGGAAAAGGAAGACCTTTCCTTTTATTAATAAAGTTCCTGGAAAAGCAACTCTATATATAGGGAACTCAGAATTACAGTACCCTTTGTATAGTCAGAAACAAGTTTGGAAGTGAAGTAAAAAACAGTATAATAATGTGAGCAATATGACGTGACCTCAGTGGAATGGAGGCAAAGCCATTGTGAGAATAGGAGAGATTCAGCCAGGCACTGTCAAAGGAGAAGGGAAGGGGGTAACACAGTGATTTGAGAAGTACAAAGATGTCATGTATGTAGGGCTTTAAATATTAGCATTGTTATTCCTTTCGGAAAATAGACAAGGTCTGCACAGCTAAGAACAATTCCATGCTTTATGTGCATTTGCTGAGAAAACAACTTAAGTAAATCTAAAATAATTCTGACAAAGAACTGATCATAGTCTATGACTCCTGAAGGTTTCTGAGGAAAGTGGCATACACGCTCTGAGTGTTGATTGGATGCAAATTCTTTGCGGGTCATTCAGGCATCCTTTCATCCTTCCTCTTCTGGGCCTATGAGTTAACTCAACCATAAGACCCACAAACACACAGCTTAGATTTTCAGAGGCAGGACTAATTTAAACCAGCCACCTTCCCCACAAGTTCAATAGCTTTTTTTTCATCTTGTATCCTGATAATGGTCCAGAAAATATGGTCCTTCTATCCATGAAACAGAAGCTTAGATAATTTTAATTTCCTTCTATTTCCAACCGCCCCCCTCCACTGGTTCAGCTGTTGCCTTTCTTCTTTCAAACTTTTCAATTATTTCCTTTTTCTTTCCTCTCTGTTATCCTTCATTATTCTCGTATTTTCTTCCTGAAACTCTAGTCCCTGCTAGGTCTTACTAGTGTGCAGAATGGGGTTGGCAGAACACCAATCACCTCAACGTATTCCCTTCCCTCTTCCCCTCTCCTCCTCTGCCTTCTTTTCTCTCCTCTCCTCCTCTCCCTTGATCTCCAAACCCCTCGCACTCCCTCCTTTCTTTCCTTCCTTCTGACGGTATTCTCTTCCCCAGAAGCAGCATTTTCGTTTTCCACTCAGAATCTTACTTCACCAACATGCCCACACTTTCCCTGAACCTACACAATAACTGACTTTCTCACAAGACCTGTTGCAACCGTCCCCTCCCAGGGTTGTCATTATCAGTATTATTATTGGGCTGTTTTGTTTTCCATCTCAGGAGCAAACTCTGGAGTCTTGATCCAGTCACCTCCTCCAGCACACGCCGGCAGTGTACCCAGCAGGGTGTGATCTCAGACACGCAGGGGAGACTCCGTGGGCCCCTCCCACATCCCAGCACTCTCACTTACTGGGATTCCTCTGAAACCGCTCTCTTGGCCCCACAGGAACACTCGGCTTAAAAGTCTCGGCTCCTCCCTTAACTGGGATTTTGATCTTTAGTCACTAACATCCATGTCACAAGCAAGGGGAAAAACAGCCCCCTTTTCCGTCCAGTTTCTGTTTCCCTAAACCCCGCCCTCCCAGGGAAGCTGACCACTCAGCTTGGGCTTATGTAGCAGCACCTGATTGGTGGCTCAGGGAAAGCCCGCTGAAGAGGGCGGAGCTCATTGGGCCGACTCCCGGCGCTTGGTAAGTGCTGTCGCCCAGGTCTGCACAGCAGGGACTTCGGCTGCGACCCGGGGCGGCCTGTTGCCATAGCGAGTGTAGAGGCCCTCAGGCAGCGCGCTGAGCCCCAAGCAGGTCCCGGGAGTGCCGGGGACACAAACCCCAGTTCCTTCAGGAAGCCTTCCAGATCGACAAGGAGAGGTGGGATAGCCCCGTTGGCTTCACCCCAAAGCATTATTATTATTCACCCTTGAAGTAAAAACCCACTTGCTTTTGACAGGGGCACAAGAAATACTTTTATTTTATGAGTCAGTGTAATTTCACTGTAATTGTTTAAAATAAGTAAACTCTGAAAAGGTCGGCAATCAGCCTTTCTGTCACTTCCCTACTTTTGGCCTTTTATATGAGAAAAACATCTTTCCTACTGTGTTTTTTTTTTTTTTTTTTTTTAAATTTTTTCCCTCTTTTTTTTTTTTTTTTTTTTTTTTTTTTTTAACATACTTGCTAGACATTTACATTTTGTTACTTGGGAGCCTACGGTGTTTCCTCCTACGTAGAGATTACACCTCGAATCCCTGCCACATTCTGAAAAGTAGGTACAGTTTACCTACTTTCTAGTTTCAGATGTGTTAAAAGATGCAGAAAGAGTAAAGGAATATGCTGAAGTTACTCCTCGTGGGATTGGGGTTGGCCACTGTAAGGGACATTCCCCCCATATCATTTCGAACCCCCTTGGTTTAAAGAGAAAAGACCTGGTTTTCTGTCAGAAGGTGGAGGGCACTGATGGAGGAGGTGGGTAATAAGCAGACAAAAAGGGAAAGTGGGATAATGTACCCAGCATTCTCGAATATCCTCAGTGTAAAAATATTTCCCTTTCCTGAGTCGTTTTTGTTTTAATGTATGCATGCATGTATACATTTTAGCAAATAGTCAAAAAGCATTTGGAACTAAGTAGATCAAGAGGTTGGTTGGTGCCATTTTTTTTCTTTATTTTTTTTTGAGACAGGGTCTCACTCTGTCACCCAGGCTGGAGTGCGGTGGCACTCTGGGCTCATTGCAGCCTCCGCCTCCTGGGCTCAAGTGGTCTTCCCACCTCAGCCTCCCAAGTAGCTGGAACTACAGACATGCACCACCACACCTGAATAATTTTTTTATTTTTTATTTATTTATTTTTTTGTAAAGATAGGGTTCTGCCATGTTGGCCAGGCTGGTCTCGAATTCCTGAGCTCAAGTGATCTGCCCATCTTGGCATCCCAGAGTGCTGGGAAACAGTGCTCAATGTGGGGCTTGAACCCACAGCCATGAGATTTAAGAGTTTCATGCTCTACCAGCTGAGCTAGCTGGGCACCCCATTTTGGAATTTAGAAAGAAAAAGAAAAAATTGACTCTTAAGGAATGTACTGGTTTTCTCATGTAACTTGGAAAGTGATTCCAAAGAGGAATTCCATGAACATTCTGATCAGTGTGGTGGTGTCACCTGGAATTAGGTATGTAGCTTCCAAGGGGTGTCCTTTGAAAAGCAATCCTCATTAGGATGTATAAATTCTGATAGTTAAAATTAGTCCATCTTTCCTTCTTTCCTTCTCTCTCTCTCCCTCTTCTATTGCTCTCATTTTCACACAAATGATTTGAGGAAATGGCTTAATAGAGTCATTTCATTTAAAGCTACTTTAGAATATAAAAAATATATAAATGTGGAGTGTATTACTATTATTTTAGGCATTGCCAAATTTATTACTGAAATTCTTAGTCCAGATGAAACCCCATCTCTACCAAAAAATACAAAAATTAGCCGGGCTTGGTGGCACATGCCTGTTATCCCAGCTACCAGGGAGGCTGAGACATGAATCACTTGACCCTGGGAGGTGGAGGTTGCAATGAGCTGAGATTGTGCTCACCACTGCACTCCAGCCTGGACTACAGAGTGAGGCCCTGTCTCAAAAAAAAAAAAAAAAAAAAAAAAAAAAAAAAGGGAAAAAAAAAAGAATTCCTCTTAGTCATCACTGATTATATCTTGTGGTATTCAGATTAAACGAGGCTATAGATACATCACTATATAGATAAAAATGGAAAGCATTGAACAAAATATTTTCAATATATAGATGAAAATGGAAAGCATTGAACAAAATATTTTCCTATTGACTTTGTAATTTGAGAATTAAAAAAAAATTTTATTTCTGCAACCTTGAAATTTGTAGGGATTCCTAATATTCTTTAGATTTTTAGTACCAATGTTGTTAATGAAATGTATAGCTTGAATCGCCAGAATTTGGGGGTTTTTGGGTCAAAAAGAGTCAAATACTTGCAGTTTCATATGATTCAACCTACTATATGAAGAGGGAAAATTTTATTTAAAAATATTTTCGAGTTAATCCTTTTTTGTTATAAGTGATTACCTAATGTATTGATTTTATAAGTTAAGATTTTATATACTTACAGCAGGACCCACTTAGACTTTACCAGATTTTTCTGTTTTGCACATGTGTGGTATGATATCCTGACTAGAAATTCAGGAATTTAAGGGCAACTAGAAATCTTTCAGCACATGTCTTTCACAGCATTAACCACAATCCTCCCTGACAAGTTGGAGGTTACTGACTTTGAAACATAGCCAGATGCTGGAAACTCAATGTGTATTCTTTCCATGACCCTTAGAAACTGGCCTGTTTCCTATTAATGATTTTTTTGTTTTGTTTGAGGCACGTTATGGTCCATATTCCTGGTTAATTTCCAGATCTTCTGCCATTCTTCTTGTACAACTCATTTTCTTTGTGGTGGGTCTTAGCAAAAGAAACCATGTACAGAAAAGGGGCTTCTGGAAATTATCATGTTTCAGCAACAAAATTGTTTAAACATCTGACAATCATTTACAACCAAACATCTCTGGTCTTATCCATGGAAAATATCACACATAGCAGAGAAAATTGAAAAGAGCTGGCAGAAGATATCTGTTGTGTTTGCATTGTGCACTGTTCAAATGGGTTCCTAGGAAACCTCAGACCAGGGTTATTTAACTTGTTGGGTATGTTCCCTTATTCTGAAAGTGTGGGATCAGAGTTTGGTTTTGAAGGTGAACTTGAGAAATTAATTAGTGCATCCTCCTCCTGTCTGGAAGCTCGGCATCGTGATGGACATAGAGCCTGATTCCAAGGGGCAAATGGAAGCTCTTTGAAATTCTTGGACAGGCAGAATGTCTTCTGCCATCCCAGAATGCCCTCTGCCATCCCAGAATGCCCTCTGCCTGCCCAAGAACCTTGTGTATGAGGTCTAGTCTCAAGTACCATTGTGCTGAGGGCTCTGTTGAAGAAGCAACTCCATGTGGTTTGGACTAATTGTTTGTCAACGTAGGGAGTAAGCCTGGCCTTTTAATTCCTGGTTAGGAACTTTGACTGTGTCTTGTCTTTGGGAGTCCATTGGCCTGTAGATTTCTCTAAGTCTGTATTTCCAGGGTTGTTTTTGATAAGAAAAACCTGTAAGAAGCCCTGTTTAGCCTGAAAATAAGCCTTCAAGGTGAATTGGTTTAATTCTAGGATGTGACCAGTCTTTAGCTCACAATGACATTTCCATCTGCTTTAAAGACATTGAACTAGGTAGGGGTAAGAAGATTCCATAGTCTCTTAGAAACACATTTCTGACGGGAATAGTAATAGCTCCACTTTCTCTAATACAAGAAATGTGAAGTTATTGTTGAGCCTGATGGGAGACATTCTTCTAGTATATAAATCACACTATTATTCATGTGATCTGCAGGATAAAAAACTTTGGGATAATTAGGGAACAAATCAGTCACTCATAAGACATACAACCAGAGAAAATCAGGCTTCATTAGTTTGCTCATGATGTGACGCTCCCAGTTAATAATTATAGTTGTCTTAATTGAACTTCATGTGGCAGTTTTCTGCCTATCAACTGAGCAGGGAATAGATTTTGGTTTCATGCCTGTGATCTTGTACTAATTAATGTATGAAATGCCTTTCTTTACACAAGCATGTTTGCATGTCTTTAAACCAGTGCTATCCAGTTGATATACAGTGCCATCCAGATATGTAATTTAAAATTTTCTAGTAGTCCCATTAAAAAATAAAAGCATATCCTGAAATTTTAACAACATACTTTAACTGGATATAGCCAAAATAGTACCATGTCACTGTGTAATCAATATAAAAATCATTAATGAGATTTTAAAATTATTATTTTTATGTGAAGTCTCAGAAATCTAGTGTGAATTTTACATGTGCAGTGCATATCAATTTGGACTAGCCTAATTTCTAGTACCAATGGCTGCATGTAGATAGTGGCTGTTGAACTGTTACTTTACTGTGTCTCTATTTAGGCAGAGGATTTTAGAGAAGAGAGGAAAGTGGGGCAGGAAGGAGAAAGGAAAAAAAGAGCCCCTATTGAATAGAGAATCCGTGGCACCAAATCTCCCAACGTAAGCATCCCCTAAAGGTTTGATTTCCTTTATTTAACACCCTAGCAGGAGATTGTTGTAATCGGAACAATCTTATGTACTCAATATCTGCCTTAAAAAAATTTGAAAACTGAGAATAGGTGGTTTTGGTCTGTTAGGATGAGAATGGACTTTGGTGACGGGGCAGGTAAACCTGAGTTCAAACCAATCCCGCTGGGTCTGAGCTGTGAGCTTATGCAAATCTGTAGCCTTTTTGGCTACACTCTAATAATAGGGACCCAATAATGGAGACAAAAATGCTAGTCTTGCAGGGCTTTAGTGGGGATTAAATTAGCCTCCTTATGTGAATGTACCTCGTTGAGTCAGTGTGTGAGGTGGTCAGTCTCCAGGTGCCGTTATCTTCCACTTACTCCATTTGTTTTTCTAATCAGGGCACTTTTCTCAGCCTTTCCTCCCTGTATTTCCCTCTTTCAGGATTTGAACTGATTTCCTACTCTACATTCCCAGAATTAAGGAAAACTACTAGAGTACTTCTTTACATTCACTACTCTACCTTCCCCCTCTACCTTTTCAGTTTCTGCCACACATCCTGCTCATAGGATTTAGTTGTGATTGTGTTATGAATATAAAAAAACTTATTGTTGAGGCATCAGTAATAATGATAATAACAATTCAGTGACTACCTAATCCAAATCCATATGAAATGTTCCATTAAGTTGCTCTAAATTTGGTGAAAAGACCAGCAGTACTTCTATTTTTGCTCAGTGGGTGGCAGCATTGTCTAAGTCACTGATCTCTGAGCTGTTGATCTGTCAGCCAGTTTCCTTTTTGATGCTGCAGTTGTAATTATCTGTGGTTCATTTTCTTAACCTGGAGGAGAACTTTTTCTTCTCGTCAAAAAGCCTAGGGTAACTGGCTTTGCGTGGTGGTGTGTGGACTGTAATCCCAGCTACTTAAGAGGCTGAGGCAGGAAGAATGCTTGAGGCCAGGAGTTTGAGACCAGCCTGGGCAACATAGTGAGACTTTGCCTCAATTAAGAGAAAAAAAGTCTAGGCACCAGACTACCGTGCCAAGGTGCCTGTTAAGCCCCACTGGGGCTAGGTCCCTGGTAGGGGCCTAGGAGATTGATGGTAGCAAAGAACACTTTCCAGTAGGAGATCCCCAAGGGTCAAGAAGTGAGGAATGAGTGGGTGGAGAGATGGACCCAGAAGGCTGGATGAGAACTGGAACAGCTTCTTAGACAGAGACAGCTGATAGGGATCAACGACTGGTCTTCTGGTAGGTTCACTGTAATAACTGGGAGCGGTTTTGTTGCTCTCATCCTCCCCTTAGTGAGATGTATCATCTTTAAATTAGAAGGATACATTTGAAAAAAATGTTTTGTGTTTTTAAATATTTTGTCACCTGGAGTTTCCATGCATCTTCTCTCCCCCAATACAATGAGAGTTGGTATTCTGAATGACAATCTTAGGGAATCACATTATCCAACTATTTGAATTAAAGAGAGTCTAATTATATTTGCAAACTTAAAGTTCTTTCAGGCTTTTCTTTACATTTCATCAGGTGAGTTCGTTTGACTTATATGGTGTGGATCAAGTGATTAAACAGAGAACATTTGGAGAATGTAGGAAAGACACCAAAGACAAAATTTAAAAAAGCTTTGGTTTCTTTTATTTAACACCCCAACAGGAGATTGTGATCAAATATCCCATTAGTTTTAAAAGACGTATAGCTTAGAAAATAGGATAGAAACTATTAGTTATTATCCAGAGGATGGACTAAACCAGAAAAACTTTTGAAGTCAAGCTACATGAATTCTGTGACTAACCATGCTAACAAAAAAGAGAGCAGGAAACCACTAGGATTATCTTTGTTTGTCTGTATTCAGTCGTTTATTTATATATTAAAAAAATTGGGCTGGGCACGGTAGCTCAC